GTAATTATAGTTTTGAAAATCTTTTTTTGGTCGCTAAACACTTTCATCATGAAATTCTTTCACTTTGGAGTTCTCAATCTAAAAAATTATCTTATTACGTACCAAATATTTCAGAAATTCCTTTCTGCTGTTAAGTAAAAAGTCGATAATAACTTCACTTCAAACCCAATAGTCTTCCTGGAACTATAAAGCTTGTAATTATCGAGTTTTTCTCTGTGTTTGCTAGCATGGCAGGAAGCAGCATGTTTAGCTTGACGTGCAAACGCGCCAAAAACAGAGTTTGTCTCGCCGTTCTGTATGCTGTGTAACGCTTGTCACGCATTCGGCATAACATTTATCCCTAATAATGTTCTTTATAAATTCGTATCTCTTAAAAACGCCTGGATACCCCTATTTTTTCTTCATTTAAATGATAAAGTAAATGCTAAATTAGCCTCGTGAAATGAAATTTATAAAAAATAATTGGTTTTGAAAAGAATATGGACACAATCTTTATGTACCTACTGATCGAAAATAGGGAGCACGAAGCAAAAAAATTATATATATTATAGCCAACTATTAAAGTCATGGTAAAATTGGGTATATTTTAGTAAAGAAACAAAGTGCCAGTCACTTAGGACGATTTAAATTAGAAATTTCTCAAAATCTTTTGAAAAAAAATTTTTTCCTTGTGTTAGTAAAATCATGACGTCGTCACTTTTTAAGATAGGTTAAAACATGCGGGATGTTTGGAGAATACGAGAGGAGCGTAGGAAACCACTCCGCTACGCGTCGTGGTTTCCTACGCTCCTCTCGTGTTCTCCCAACATCCCGCGTGTTTTGATCAGAGTATCAAACACAGAAAACTGTTTTTGATTTGTTTTATAAAATAACAAACACGCGAAAAGATCGAAAAAAAGCAAAGTCTAAGTAAATTCTCCCTACGTGCCGTCTTATTCAAACTGACCAATGAGCGCGCGCGATAGATTAAAAATGACCACAATACGGAATATATTTTCTCCCAACTAGCCGTCAATATTTTGTGCTATTGCCGTCTCAAAATCGTAATTAGTTTATAGTATTCACTAGATTCGTCAGAGTTCAGCTTGGAAAAAAGACACAGTCATGGATAAATCCATGCGGATCACAAAGACTTTTGTCGTCCTTTTATTGTTGTACTTCAATTCTTCTGCTCAAGGTAAGTGTTAATCAAATGGATAACCAAAAGCAATAACACAGACGACTCTTCAACAGCCTCTTCATCCCTATTTTAGAAGTGCAAACACTATAATTTGAAGTACGACGAGCGAGTTCATGTGCCGGGCTCTATCTCAGTATATCCCTGTCCTGAATCTAACTGTGTACATCTGTATATATACACCTATATACATGTTCCGTGTATACGTATGTATATGTATATATATATACCTGTCACTGATAGGTACATATGTATATATGTATATACATATACATCTTATATTATACACATATACACTTTTAATGCATAGACACTTTTGTATATGTACTCATAGACACTTGTACATATACACTCTAGTCAACAGTGAG